AAAGACATGGGAAATCACTCTCAGGATTTATATGAGTCAATGTTGATGGAGGAGACCTCTTTCCTCTAGTGTTGTAGCCACTGGTAAGGTATCCATGCTCCTGTAAACAACCCTAATGAAACTCTTTGGGTCACCATGAATGGTTAATATTGACTGTCAGAGCTGGAAAGATGGTTCATTGGCTAAGAGCACTGGCTGCTCTAGCAGAGGACCCAGGTTTGGTTCCCAGCATCCACATGGCAGCTAACAACTATCTATAACTCCAGTTCCAGGGGATCAGACAGACTGTTCTGACCTCCATAGGCATCACATGACACAGATGTACTTACATACATGCCACAGGAGCACTTACATATATGCAGTCAAAACACTTATACACATAAATAATAAAAATTTTTTAAATATATTGACTATCAGTCAGGTGAGGTGGCACATGCCTTTAATCTCAGGTGGGTGGATCTCTGTGAGTTCAAGGCCAGCCTGGTCTAGATAGCGAGCACCAGACCAGCTAGCTGAGGCTACAGGGAGACCCTGTCTCAAAAAGACCAGGGGGGAAAAAAATTAAATTATCAAGATTAGGTTAGCCTCTAGGCATTCCTTTGAGAGATTATCTAAATTAGTTTAACTGAGGTGGAAAAATTTAACTGTGGGCAACACCATTTCATAAGCTGAGGTCTGAACTTAATAGAAAGGAGAAAGGGAGCTGCACTAACCTTCATTGCCCTTATTCCTGACTGGTGTGATGTGGCTATCTGTATCAAGTTCCTGCTGTCATGCCTCTCCACCATGACAGACGACACCCTGAAACTCTGAGCCAAAATAAGCCTTTCCTTAAGTCAGTTTTGTCAGGGTATTTTGCCACAGCAACAAAACAAGCACCTTGTAAGTCTCACACACACACACACACACACACACACACACACACACACACACAATTAGGGTCTAGAGATGGAATGACAGTTAGCACTGGCTGCTCTTGCAGAAGACCCAAGTTTGGTTCTTAGCACCCAAACGGTGACTTTCAACTGTCTATAATTCTAGTTCCATGGGCTCTGACACCTTCTTATGAGGTACTAGTGCACTTAGAGAAATGTAGGCAAACACTTATAGACATAAAGTGAAAATAAATTTTAAAAAATTTAAGACATGAGGGGCTGGAGAGATGGCTCAGCAGTTAAGAGCACTGACTGCTCTTGCAGAGGACCCGGGTTCAATACCCAGCACCCACATAGCGGCCACGAACGGTCCTTAACTCCAGTTCCAGGTGAATCCAAAGCCGTCTTCTGAACACGGCATTGCACGACACAGGTGCACTCACATACATGCACGAAATACACTCATAAAATAAAAATAATTTTAAAAAATTTAAGACATGAAATTAGAAGGGGAATAGTTGAAAAGAGGAAGTAGATTAGCAGGAGCGAGAGGGGAACAAGAGGGTGATGTGTACTGAATAGAATCAAAATATATTATGTTTATTTATGAAAATGGTATAATGAAATCCATTATTATATATAACATGTGCTAATAAAAAAAAATCACTTCTAGCCAGGTGTGGTGATGTACACCTTTAATTCCAGAAGGCAGAGGTAGGCGGACCTCTGCGAGTTCAAGGCCAACCTGGTCTCATAGCAAGTTCCAGGCCAGCTGGGGCTACAGGAGACCCTGTCTTCAAAAAGACCAAAAAAAATTATATATATATATGTATTACCTCTGAAGTCAAGTATGCCTTTAATCAAGAGGGGAGGTAGGTAAATCTCTGTGAAATCAAGGCCAGCACGGTCTACACAATGAATTCCAAGCCAGCTGGGGTTACATGGAGACCTGTCTCAAAAACAACAAAAAATCCATTCCTTGGTTGCACTAAACATGTAAAAAGCAACAAGTGTTTCAAGGGCTACCATATGGCTAATGTTGCTGTTATGAGGTTGTCTCACCAGAGAAGACCACTCAGACATAGAAAATGGCCAAAAGAAAGTCTTTGTATAGCCAGCCGGCAACTATACCAGGTATTCAGGTCCCAAGTGCAGTCTCAAGCTACTCTTAGGAAAAGCTTCTATATAGAATAATTACATCCGGGGTAAAAAGTTAAAGGTCCCAAGCTTAGGGGTGGAAAGCACCCCTCTAACAATTTCTATTCTACAAAAGAACAATTTCTATTCTGTAAGAGTAAGACAAGCAAAAAGTACAGAAGCCATAATCTGCTGTTAGCAGGAGCAACCAGGTACACACTGACCTGTCCTCAAGCCCACAGCTCGATGCAGCTGGGTCAAACTTTCAAACTTTTCCATTCCCTCATTTGAGTTAACGGCCTCTAGCTTTAACTACTGGGTTTAGCTGGTGCTTGCTTGTAACATGGTGTAGCTATGGTGAG